TACGAAAGTCCAAAAAAATAGCATCAGCTTGTAGCCTATTTTCCGCTACACTAACCAGATCATGAAAAGTTCTATTAATTGAGTACTGCAAGAAACGCCCTTGCGAAAACCATGTTGGTTTGGACAGAAAAAAAGACTATCTTCTAAGTGCTTCAATATATTTCTATCCATGATATGCTCCATGACCTTACATCCTATACAACTCAGTGAAATAGGCCTATCATTATCTATTGCCGATTTTGATCCACATTTATGAACTGGCACAACATGCGTTTTTTTCCAATCTTTTGGCAATAACCCTGTTTCAAGAGATTTGCAAAAAATTAAGTACAGATATTTGGACACTATACATGAGCCTTAGGGGACAACTCATCCGGACCAGAGGCCTTTTCCACCTGCAGGGAGTCTAAACACCTTTTTATTCCCTCTACCGTGATTGTGACAGGAGCATTATGTTTTTCACTTTATCCCTTATCACCGGCAGATTGCCAACGCCGTCTCCGTCTAGGAATATGGACTTAAAGTAGTCATTGTAACAATTAGCTTTTTCAGAGTTACCAGTTACGACTGTGCCAGAAACAGTAATGCTAGGAATGCCGGTTGTCCCTTTTCGCGTTTTCCGCAGATAACTCCGGAATGCTTTGGCATTTGTGCTGATAGCGTTTGCAAGTCCAGCAAAATATGCCTCCTTAGCCTCACTTAAGGGCTTCTTATAGAGGCTTTCTAGTTCTCTTAGACGATGCTCAAGATTAGCGCAGGAGTTCTTTTTATATTTTTTATACATACGGGAGCATTGTTTTACTAGTTTTATAGTTTTTCTGTTCATCCAAGGTTTATCAGGCTTCGATTTGTCTATCATATGCTTAAAGGGAATGTGGTTGTCGATGAGTGATGATAGCAAGTTTTTAAATCTGATCCACAATGCGTTGTTACGTTTCTCCAGGAGAATCGACGAATCCGGAGACTGACGTTTATTTGGCAGCGTTTATTGTTCGGCAGCCGGAACCAAAAGAGCTCAAAGCTTGCCGGCGATGCCGCTTATATCGGCAGCAAGCACCAGAGGTACGCCCCCCTGACTCAGCAGTTCTGCTGCGGCCGCGACAGCGATAAGCGATAACATCGCATCGTAACAACTCCCCCCCCCCCTTTTAGGGCGAAACCGCGTAAAACAATTTTCCTGCCACTCTCCAGGTTTCAAGCACGTCCTTGGGAATGTTCGACAGACAAACGGACGGCGTAATCCTCGTGCTGCTTGCGCAGAACTTCACAGTCGTTGCTCGAAGAAACCTTCGCAGCGAATACAGGTTCAGCTTGCGCTGATCCGAAGGGCGGGAAGTCCTGGAGACGCAGGGCCCAACACCGTCTGCGAAACTGGCCGGAAGCGTCGACGCGCGGCCCAACACCGTCACTGCAGTTTTCAGTGTCCTTGACTGGTCGGAAGCGTCGACTGTGCGGTCCGAGAGGCGCAGGAAGGAGCGGTGATGGCGTTCCTTGCGACCATGAGCCAAAGTCGCCAGCGGCCCAGGAGTAGCAGCGGCTGTCACGTGCCGTCGGTGCCAGGACGTCGGGATGACAACAGAGGTCCGTCGTGCTTCTGAGGGGAATGAGAAGGGCCAACAACAACCAAGCGCCACAGAAACTGCGGAGGCACCCGAAACGCCCTTTCCACTCACCGAGAGCACGAATTATTCAAAAGAACTTGCTTACAAAATATGCCCCAAACGCAGCCAGAATTTTTTGAAAATATCGTTCCCGATCTTTCGGGAATAGACAGCTAATGAATGAAATTGAATGGAACTATTTACAAATGTGCAGATGAGACAAAAGAAACAGAAAATCGCACTGTGCGCCGGTTAGAGCGCTCGGCTCAGACAATCTGCGTTCGCATGAAGCTTTCCTTTTTTATGTCGAACCAAGAAAGAATATTCCTGGAGGGTCAAGCTCCAGCGTAACAAGCGACCGTTTTTGGGGGACAGCTGCTGAAGCCATGTGAGCGGTCTATGATCTGTAATTAAAATAAACTCCGAACCATAGAGACAGCAGCGAAGCTTTTCTACAGCCCATACGAGACAAGCGCATTCTTTTTCGATGGTACTGTAGGCTTGCTCCCTTGAAGTTAGCTTCCTGCTGGCAAACAAAACGGGGTGCTCTTCCCCTTCAGTTTCTTGGCTTAGAACGACGCCGAGTCCTTTTTCGCTGGCGTCGCACTGCACTAAGAAGGGTCTTGTGTAGTCAGGGCTGACTAATACGGCTTGAGTCGCCAAGGCTAACTTAAGAGCCTCAAACGCATGTATCTTGCGATCGTCCCATTTGATCTTAGTGGGCTCTGTTTTCTTGAGCGCATCCGTCAGGGGACTCGCCTTTTCAGAGAACTGGGGAATGTACTGGTGGTAGTAATTCACCAGTCCGATAAAGGACATCAAATCTTTTTTTGTTTGTGGCAAGGGAAACTCGTTAATGGCCTGAACCTTGAGTTCTTGTGGACGTCTCATTCCTTGACCGACTACGTGTCCGAGATACGATACTTCGCCTCGGCCAAACTTACACTTTTTCGCCTTGACTGTAAGTCCTGCGTCTTGCAGGCGCGAGAACACCTGTTCTAGGTGCTGAACGTGCTCTCTCCACGTGTCCGAAAATATAGCGACGTCGTCTAGGTACGGCAACGCAAAAGACTCGGTTCCGACCAGTACCAGATTCATCAGTCTCGAAAACGCATAGGGTGCGTTTTTCAGTCCAAAGCTCAGGACAAGCGGCTTAAAAACACCAAACGGGGTCATGAAGGCGGCAAGGTTGCTGGCGTTCGCGGTAAGTGGCACTTGCCAGTAACCTCTAACGAGGTCGATGGTTGAGATAAACTTGGCTTTGCTTACTTTCTCAATGCAAGTTTCGATATTAGGGATTGGGTAGACTTTTGTTACCGTTACCGCGTTTAACTTTCGGTAGTCCACACAGGGACGAGGTTCTTTTCCTGGAGTCTCTACCAGAATCATAGGAGACACGAAGTCGCTCTCGCACCGCTCAATCAACCCTAGCTCTAGCATTTGATCTACGGACTCCTTTAATAGCTTTTCTTGGCGGGGGGAAAAACGATAGGCCTTACACTGAATATTTGACCGAGTCCTCACTTCGATGTCATGTTCGACTAGACTCGTTCTTCCGGGAATAGTTGAAAACAATTTTTGGTATTTGCCAATTAATGCCGTAAGATCCGAAAACTGGTTTTGGGTGAGTGTCTTATCGACTGCGGCCTCTACGACTTCGGCGATTGTCAGGATCCCGTCGGTTTTTCCCAGCTCAGGAATTCGTGTAGGAACTTCCTCTGGTTGGTTTAGTGCAATGCTGACTACTTGCACCCTTTCCACGTACGGCTTCATGAGGTTGCAATGGTATATGCGGACCTCTTTCCTGCGACCTGGCAGTTTTACCACGTAATTTGTCTCGGATAGCCTCTGCTGGACCGTTGCTGGTCCTTCCCATTGCAATTCCAACTTATGAGCCTTAGAAGACCTCAAAAGTAGGACTTGGTCACCCACCTTAAACGTTCGGAGGCGGCTGTTTTTGTCATAGTAGGTTTTACCTCGCGACTGCGCTTTTCCCAGGTTAGCCTCAACTAGCTCACGCGTTTTGTGGAGACGGTTTAGTAAGGAAAGCACATACTCCACCACAGTTGGGTTCTCGGCTTCACCCTCCCAGCCCTCGCGCAGCAACCGCAAAGGTGAACGCAAATTGCGTCCATAGACCAGTTCCGCTGGCGTGAAACCAGTTGACTCGTGAGCAACGGTTCGCAACGCGAAAAGCATAGCGGGCAATGCCAAGTCCCACTCTTTTTTCTGTTCGTGACAAAGGGCCCTGAGAATGCGCTTCATTACCGAGTGCGCTCTCTCTACGCTGTTACTTTGCGGGTGGCTTACAGAACTGTGAACAATCTTAATGCCACAACTCTCGAAAAAGCTGGTTGTTAGAGCACTGGTAAAAACGCTACCCAGATCACATTGAATTTCACTAGGAAACCCGATCCGAGAAAAGACCGAGAGCAAGTTATCTACTACTTCGACCGATGTCTGCTCTTTCATTGGAATGGCTTCTGGGAACTTGCTGGCTGGGCATAATATCGTTAGAAGGTACCTAAAACCCGTCTTAGTTGTAGGTAGGGGTCCTACGACGTCTATCACTAGCCTTTTGAAAGGTTCCGTGATTATGGGCACTAGTGTGAGAGGCGCCTTTCGGCGCTCGTTTGGTCGTCCTGTTCTTTGGCAGGTGTCGCAAGAACGGACGAATTGCTCAGCCTCCTTAAAGCAGCCCGGCCAATAATATTCTGCCAAAAGCCTGCACTTGGTCTTTGTGATTCCTAGGTGTCCCGACCACCCTTCTCCGTGAGCAAGCTCGAGTAATGCAATTCTATACTTGGATGGAACGACAATCTGATCTACCTCGTTCCCCGATTTGTCCTTGAAACTACGGTAAAGAATGCCGTTGCTCATAAAGAAGGAGATGTTCGGGTTGTTTTTTTTCCCACGCTATCACGACACTTTAAAAAACTCGGGTCGGATGACTGTTCGGCAATAAGCGTAAGCTTATCTACACCGGCCCGCGCACGAAAATTGCTGCTCTCCGGCGAAACCAGCGTGGTCATGTCAGCTCCTTCGTTCGGCTCTTCATCGGGCCCGCTGCTGGTTTTACCAGTCGTCGCGCTCGCTTCCGTCTGAAGTGTTTCCGGCACTGCACTAGTTGTCATTGAGCGCGTGACGACTAGAACAGGATTCATGTCAAGCGGTATACCCGACTCGCTCAATTGCCTTGCAGTTCTGTTTGACAGTATGTACGGACAGTTTGGAAGCACTCCGTCAGAAACAGCTGCTTCCGTTTCCACTACTCCGAAAGGTCCGTTTAGTTTTACCTTAGCTACGGGCAGACTAACTGCCCGATTTTCCAAGGCCTGACGGATCCACACACAGTCGCCTGTAAAATGTTCTTGCTCCACTAGCGAAGAGTGTACCAGATCATACGTGCATGGCGCCGGTATCTCGTAAACCTTTGCAGAATTTACCATTTACTTTCACGTCATACAGATACGGCCTGAGTAGGTCCTCCGCTTCTCCCAGACACAATTTAACGGGAGCAACTTTAGGGACGCGGCAACCAGAAGCGACATGACCAGGCTGTTTACACCTGTAGCACACTATTGGTTTACGCTCCTCGAACGCCTTCATTTTACGTTTCTTTTCGTCTGAATCAGACACTCCCTTTGTCGGTACTTCACTCTCTTTGCACTTTTCGGCGCCTTTCTTCACGAACGTGCGAGGTCCGCATCGTTCGTAGAAACGGTTTGAGCTACGGTTTTCTTCAACAACTTTCTTCCCGTGCCTAGAGCAGTACTCATCCGCGTAATCTGCAGCTTTTTGCAACGTTTCTACTTCCGGTCTATCCTGAATCCACTCCTTTAGACCTGTCGGAATACAGGAGAGAAACTGCTCTAGTGCTATCTGCTCCAGCACCTTTTCACGATCCTCGTAAGAGTTGACACCACGGAGCCAACTTTCCAGAAAGCCTTTAAGCTTATAAGCGAACTCCGCGTAACTTTCGTCCGGTCCTTTCCTTGTCTCTCGAAATTTCTGTCGAAAAGCTTCAGGCGACAACCTGAACTTCCTCAGCAGGCATGACTTTACGGACGCGTAGTCATCGGCTGCTGTAGGATCTAGTCGGGCCAAAACGTCGGCCACCTCCGCTGGCAGTAAACTCAAGAGCCTTTGAGGCCAGCTCGACTCTACAAGACCCATCTTAGCGCAAACCCGTTCGAAATTTACTAAATAGAGACCCATGTCTCCGCCGACGCGAAAAGGTTGCAAAAGGGCTCGCATGTCAAACTTTTTCGAGCTGTTATCCACCACAACGGCCTCACCAGCGTCAAAGTTACGTTGACGCATTTCTAGCTCAAGTTTTTCTCGAGCAACGCGAAGCCCTTCTTGAGCCGCGTGAAGTTCCGCTTCCCTTCGTCTCTTCTGCACCTCGCTCCAACACTCGGAAATTTCGTCGCGGCCCTCGCCACAATCTTCAATGGCCTTAATGATCTCGGGCTTTCTCATGGCCTTGACCACTTTAACACCCAGCTCTTCCGCTAAGAGCATTAAATCGGGCTTCACAATCGCCGCGAGATTTATCGGATCCATGTTCAGAAATTTCCAAAAAAAGTTTGGCTACTTTTGCCCAGCGCCCGTATCAACCGTTTGGCGACAACACAGAACTAACTGCCTTAAACACTTAAGCTGCTTGGTGAACGGAAAGGAAGCCTCGGGCACTCACCAACAGCACCCATGGAACCCGGCGTCGTCGATCCATCCCACCGCTGCCACCAGCTGTTACGTTTCTCCGGGAGAATCGACGAATCCGGAGACCGAAGTTTATTTGGCAGCGTTTATTGTTCGGCAGCCGGAACCAAAAGAGCTCAAAGCTTGCCGGCGATGCCGCTTATATCGGCAGCAAGCACCAGAGGTACGCCCCTGACTCAGCAGTTCTGCTGCGGCCGCGACAGCGATAAGCGATAACATCGCATCGTAACAGCGTCAACATCCTCAGATAAAGATTCTGCCGTGTACATGTCTAGTTCACTCTCAAGCTTGCTTATGATTTCATTGTAATTGGCTCTATTGTACATGTACACTTTTTTAACATCACAGCTAGCAGGAACCAACTGAGGCAGGATGAACTTGGCACTAACTTTGTCATGGTCACTTATACCAGGTAAAACACTCACACATCGTACCACGCTTGGATCATTGCATAGTATTAAATCAAGAATATTAGTTCCCCTTGTAGGGGACAACACGTACTGTTCAAGACCATACGTATTAATGACATCATAAAAGGCTGAAGAATTTCCACTGGGTGGTATTGCTCCATCCCATTTCCAACTTGGCAAATTAAAATCTCCAGCCAAAATAATGCGGTCATCAGGAAGTGAAGCCAAGACAGAATCTAATGACTTTTTAGTTTCATTACTTGCTCCAGGGGGGCGGTAGAAACAACCCATTGTCATCGTACCACTATCAGGCGTAGTCACTCTGTCCAACGACTCTCTAATTATAATAAACACTTCCCCCCTCGATGATGCCTATCTTTTCTATATACCCGATAGTACGTAGGAAATATTTCACCGTCCTTTACCACGTCATCCAACCATGACTCAACTCCAAAGACTATGTCTGGGTTTCAAACTTGCAGCAGACCAGTGAAGTCATAAACTTTATTTTTGATACTTTGACAGTTTACCAGGAGAACAGTGCAATCAGTCATACTATTCTGTGCTGTTAAGGGTCGTCATTTTTTACTTAAATTCGTTGCAGATTGTGTATCTTCATCCCAGACATAGGCTTCACCGTTTACGATCAACTTACTGTGCACCAGGGAAACTTTATCTTGACTGTTTTGCTTTCTTGGCTTGCCAACATTCCACAGCTTCCGTCGAATTTTTCTGACACCTGGTGAAACTTCCTTCGAAATGCCATAGTTGGAGCCCTTCAATTTCTTACCGTTGCTAAGAAGTTTGTCACTATCCTTGTAGGAAGCAAAATTCGCAATGGTCGACGATTTTTGTTAGGTCAATACTTTCCGATCCTGTGCACTCTCTGCATTTCCCCAACCGATATTTGCAACTTATCCCGACAGAAGGCCCGGATCACATTTTCAGTTGTTTTCCAACTCTCACGTGGATCACGATCTTCGATACCGTAAAAGAGAAGATTTTGCCGTCTGTTTTGGTTTTATAAATCATCTAGTTTTCTAGCCAAATCATCCACGTTTTCTGAGTGTGCTTGGACCTGGTTATAAACCCTAGCGGTATCCCTCTTAACATGTTCAAACGCTTGCATTTTTAATTCTAATGACTCGATCCTTCCCCCGAAATCGCTGATTAGACCATCCAAGTTCGCTTGTCTCTTTTCTATGTCGTCTAGTTTGCTCAGGATAGTAGCTTGACCCTCTTGTAAGTTCTTTAGAATGGCGGCCATGTCAGCGTCAGGGCCAGGATTCCCCTCAACATCTCCGGCCAAAAGCAGTAGCTTTAAGAAAAACAGTCTTACTGATGCTAGTAACATTTTTGCTCTTTGTGGGAAAGGCGGCAGCAGCAAGAAGCGATCATCACTACGGTAGCAGGGAACTTCCACCCTTACCTGTAGCAAACAGAAGTGCCTGATTACACACATGTTGGCGCGATCGCTGCCGCCTTTCCCACTGAAGCCAGCACGGCATAGTAGAGTCCTTTTGTGCATTCCAGACAGGAAGTCGTCCGATGTTCCCGGGCGGACGTGACGTTGATAATCATGCCCACAGTGATAGGCATTCCAGCAGTGACGAGGCTGGCGAATATGGTCAACGAGTAGATCCCGAAGATCGCCTGGCTTGTGCTGCATGACATCGCCGATCCCAAGGAGCAGCAGCTGTAGCAAACAGAAGTGCCTGATTACACACAAGTTGGCGCGATCGCTACCGCCTTTCCCACTGAAACCAGCACGGCCAACTAGAGTCCTTTTGTGCATTCCAGACAGGAAGTCGTCCAATGTTCCCGGACGGACGTGACATTGATAGCCATGCCCACAGTGATAGGCATTCCAGCAGTGACGAGGCTGGCGAGTGTGGTCGACGAGTAGATCCCGTAGATCGCCTGGCTTGTGCTGCATGACATCGCCGATCCCAAGGAGCAGCAGCTGTAGCAAACAGAAGTGCCTGATTACACACATGTTGGCGCGATCGCTACCGCCTTTCCCACTGAAACCAGCACGGCCAACTAGAGTCCTTTTGTGCATTCCAGACAGGAAGTCGTCCGATGTTCCCGGCGGACGTGACGTTGATAATCATGCCCACAGTGATAGGCATTCCAGCAGTGACGAGGCTGGCGAGTGTGGTCGACGAGTAGATTCCGAAGATCGCCTGGCTTGTGCTGCATGACTTCGCCGATCCCAAGGAGCAGCAGCTGTAGCAAAGAGAAGTGCATGATTACACACATGTTGGCGCGATCGCTACCGCCTTTCCCACTGAAACCAGCACGGCCAACTAGAGTCCTTTTGTGCATTCCAGACAGGAAGTCGTCCGATGTTCCCGGACGGACGTGACGTTGATAATCATGCCCACAGTGATAGGCATTCCAGCAGTGACGAGGCTGGGGAGTGTGGTCGACAAGTAGATCCCGAAGATCGCCTGGCTTGTGCTGCATGACATCGCCGATCCCAAGGAGCAGCAGCTGTAGCAAACAGAAGTGCCTGATTACACACATGTTGGCGCGATCGCTACCGCCTTTCCCACTGAAACCAGCACGGCCAACTAGAGTCCTTTTGTGCATTCCAGACAGGAAGTCGTCCGATGTTCCCGGACGGACGTGACGTTGATAGTCATGCCCACAGTGATAGGCATTCCAGCAGTGACGAGGCTGGCGAATATGGTCAACGAGTAGATCCCGAAGATCGCCTGGCTTGTGCTGCATGACATCGCCGATCCCAAGGAGCAGCAGCTGTAGCAAACAGAAGTGCCTGATTACACACATGTTGGCGCGATCGCTGCCGCCTTTCCCACTGAAACCAGCACAGCCAAGTAGAGTCCTTTTGTGCATTCCAGACAGGAAGTCGTCCGATGTTCCCGGACGGACGTGACGTTGATAGTCATGCCCACAGTGATAGGCATTCCAGCAGTGACGAGGCTGGCGAGTGTGGTCGACGAGTAGATTCCGAAGATCGCCTGGCTTGTGCTGCATGACATCGCCGATCTCAAGGAGCAGCAGCTGTAGCAAACAGAAGTGCCTGATTACACACATGTTGGCGCGATTGCTGCCGCCTTTCCCACTGAAACCAGCACGGCCAACTAGAGTCCTTTTGTGCATTCCAGACAGGAAGTCGTCCGATGTTCCCGGACGGACGTGACGTTGATAGTCATGCCCACAGTTATAGGCATTCCAGCAGTGACGAGGCTGGCGAATATGGTCAACGAGTAGATCCCGAAGATCGCCTGGCTTGTGCTGCATGACATCGCCGATCCCAAGGAGCAGCAGCTGTAGCAAACAGAAGTGCCTGATTACACACATGTTGGCGCGATCGCTGCCGCCTTTCCCACTGAAACCAGCACAGCCAAGTAGAGTCCTTTTGTGCATTCCAGACAGGAAGTCGTCCGATGTTCCCGGACGGACGTGACGTTGATAGTCATGCCCACAGTGATAGGCATTCCAGCAGTGACGAGGCTGGCGAGTGTGGTCGACGAGTAGATTCCGAAGATCGCCTGGCTTGTGCTGCATGACATCGCCGATCTCAAGGAGCAGCAGCTGTAGCAAACAGAAGTGCCTGATTACACACATGTTGGCGCGATTGCTGCCGCCTTTCCCACTGAAACCAGCACAGCCAAATAGAGTCCTCTTGTGCATTCCAGACAGGAAGTCGTCCGATGTTCCCGGACGGACGTGACGTTGATAGTCATGCCCACAGTGATAGGCATTCCAGCAATGACGAGGCTGGCGAGTGTGGTCGACGATTAGATCCCGAAGATCGCCTGGCTTGTGCTGCATGACATCGCCGATCCCAAGGAGCAGCAGCTGTAGCAAACAGAAGTGCCTGATTACACACATGTTGGCGCGGTCGCTGCCGCCTTTCCCACTGAAACCAGCACAGCCAAGTAGAGTCCTTTTGTGCATTCCAGACAGGAAGTCGTCCGATGTTCCCGGACGGACGTGACCTTGATAGTCATGCCCACAGTGATAGGCATTCCAGCAGTGACGAGGCTGGCGAGTGTGGTCGACGAGTAGATTCCGAAGATCGCCTGGCTTGTGCTGCATGACATCGCCGATCCCAAGGAGCAGCAGCTGTAGCAAACAGAAGTGCCTGATTACACACATGTTGGCACGGTCGCTGCCGCCTTTCCCACTGAAACCAGCACAGCCAAGTAGAGTCCTTTTGTGCATTCCAGACAGGAAGTCGTCCGATGTTCCCGGACGGACGTGACCTTGATAGTCATGCCCACAGTGATAGGCATTCCAGCAGTGACGAGGCTGGCGAGTGTGGTCGACGAGTAGATTCCGAAGATCGCCTGGCTTGTGCTGCATGACATCGCCGATCACAAGGAGCAGCAGCTGTAGCAAACAGAAGTGCCTGATTACACACATGTTGGCGCGATTGCTGCCGCCTTTCCCACTGAA